AGACCAGTATAAACCAGTACAGACCAGTAGAAACTGGTATGGACCAGTATGGACGAGTACAAACCAGTATGGACTGGTATAGACCAGTATGGACCAGTACAAACCAGTACGGACCAGTATAGACCAGTATGGATCCCGGGGGATGGTCCCAGTACCCCCTGGACTCCTCACCAGTACATCCCAGTCCATCCCAGTACAAACCTGTATATCCCAGTACAAACCAGTATATCCCAGTCCAAACCAGTACAAACCAGTATAAACCAGTATAAACCAGTACAGACCAGAAGAAACTGGTATGGACCAGTATGGACGAGTACAAACCAGTACGGACCAGTATAGACCAGTATGGATCCCTGGGGATGGTCCCAGTACCCCCTGGACTCCTCACCAGTACATCCCAGTCCATCCCAGTACAAACCAGTATATCCCAGTACAAACCAGTATATCCCAGTATAAACCAGTACAAACCAGTATAAATCCTTACAGGTGGGGGAGGGGCGCTGTTCCCGGCCCTGCCCCCCTTCCGGGGCCGGGGGGGGCTCGGGGGGCTCCTGGCCCGGCTGCGGGGGAGGGTCCTGGCGGCCGCGCGCTCCCAGTTATCCCACAGCCTGCTGACCGAGCGGAACTGGTGAGACTGGGAGGGACTGGGAGGGACTGGGGGGGACTGGGATAAACTGGGAGGCACTGGCAGGCGCTTGGGGGAGACGGGGACTGGGATTAACTGGGAGGGGGTTTGGGGTCACTGGTTTGTACTGGGAGGGACTGGGAGGGGAACTGGTGTGAACTGGGAGGGACTGGGAGGGACTGGGGGCACTGGGAAAGGGTTAAAGGGAGATTTGGGGTTACTGGTTTATACTGGGAGGGACTGGGAGGGGATTGGGGGGACTGGGAGGGACTGGGAGGGACTGGGAAAGGGTTAAGGGGCAATTTGGGCTTACTGGTTTGTACTGGGAGGGGATGGGGAGGGGATTGGGGGGACTGGGAAAGGGTTAAAGAGGGATTTGTGTTACTGGTTTAAACTGGGAGGGACTGGGAGGGGCTGGGAAAGGGTTAAAGGGGGGTTTGGCTTTACTGGTTTGTACTGGGAGGGGATTGAGGGGGACTGGGATAAACTGGGAGGGGGTTGGGGATTACTGGGAGGGGACTGGGAATGGATTGGGGGGGACTGGGATGGACTGGGATAAACTGGGAGGGGATTGGGATAAACTGGGAGGGACTGGGAGGAGGTTTGAGGGCAACTGGGAGGGGACTGGGATTAACTGGGAGGGCATTTCTTACCTGTACTGGCCCGTACTGGTCCATACTGGTTTATACTGGTCCATACTGGTGCAGGTTCCATTACGCCGCCCGCATCTGGGACGGGGTGAAGAAATCCTCGGCCCTGGCCGAGTACGGCCGCTTACTGGGCTGAACTGGGAGCACTGGGAGCCGCCCCCCGCGCCAATAAACCGCCAAAACCGCCTCGTCTCGCTCTTAATTAACGCCGGATGTTAATTAATTACCGCCTCGAGGGTTAATTAGGTGTAATTCCCCTCATGGGGGTTTAATTACCTTGGCTCCGCCCCCTTTCCCCTCACGGCTTCCCGCGATTGGAAAAGGGCGGGAAGAAACCCCGCGTGACCATAGAGGCGGGAGGACTTGCGGGGTAGAGCGCCTCCGCGCGCATGCGCAGAAATAGAGAATACTAAGTCAAACCATAGAGTTCGGGGGGCGTTTGGCAGAGCGCCTCCCACAGGGCCGCTCTGAGGCGGCTTCCGGCGGAGCTCTGAGGGGGCTTCCGGCGCAGCCGTGAGGCGGGAGCGGCCATGGCGGAGATCCCCTTCACGCGGGTGGTGTCGGTGACCAGCGCGGACCCGGTGGGTCCGGGGAGGGTTCGGCAGCACCGGGAGGAGGCTCCGGTACCGGGGAGGGGGGGGAAAGGGGTCGGTGCTGAGCGTCCGGTGCGTCCGCAGCGTCACCCGGCGGAGAATCTGCTGAGGCCCGAGGATGGCGGGAAGTGGAGGGGAGCGGCGGCGGGGGAGAAACAGCTGAGCGTGGTGCTGGAGGTGGGACTGGGAGGGACTGGGAGGGGATTCACACCTGGGCACACCTGGGGTCATCTCAGCACACCTGGGCACAGCTGGGTACACCTGGGCATGGCTGGGATACGGCTGGGCACACCTGGGCCTCACTTGAGCCACACCTGGACACACCTGGGGCTACTTGGACTTTACCTGGGCACACCTGAGATACACCTGGGCATGGCTGGGATACACCTGGGCACATCCGGGTACAGTTGGGCACAGCTGGAGTCACCTGAGATGCACCTGGATACACCTGGGCACACCTGGGCCTTACCTGGGCACACCTGAGATACACCTGGGATACACCTGGATACACCTGGGCACATCCGGGTACAGTTGGGCACAGCTGGAGTCACCTGAGATGCACCTGGATACACCTGGGCACACCTGGGCCTTACCTGGGCACACCTGAGATACACCTGGGCATGGCTGGGATACACCTGGGCACATCCGGGTACAGTTGGGCACAGCTGGAGTCACCTGAGATGCACCTGGATACACCTGGGCACACCTGGGCCTTACCTGGGCACACCTGACACCTGGGGGCACCTGGGGCACCTGGGGTACACCTGGGGGCACCTGGGAACACCCGGGCACACCTGGGGGCACCCTGGGCACACCTGGGGCACCTGGGCACACCTGGGGCACCTGGGGGCACCTGAGAGAACCCAGGGGCACCTGGGGACACCTGAGAGAACCTGGGGGCACCTGGGGACACCTGGGGGCACCTGGGCACCTGCCCTCCCTGCCTCGAAGTCCTCCAGCGAGAACGCGCGCCTGCGGGCACACCGGGGTCACCTGGGGCACCCTGGGCACACCTGGGGCACACCTGGGGGTATCCAGGGCACACCTGGGTCACCTGGGCACACCTGGGGGCACCCGGGGACACAGCTAGGGGCACCTGGGCTTATCTGGGGTCACCTGGACACACCTGGGCCTTCCTGGGACTTACCTGGGCACACCTGGGCCTTACCTGGGGTCACCTGGGCACACCTGAGCACACCTGGGCCTTACCTGGGGTCACCTGGGCACACCTGAGCACACCTGGGCCTTACCTGGGGACACCTGAGCACACCTGAGCCTTACCTGGGCACACCTGGGCACACCTGGGGCTACTTGGGCCTTACCTGGTGTCACCTGGTCTCACCTGTCCCCTGCAGGTGCTGCTGCCCAGCGCGGCGCTGATGTCGCCCAGCGAGAGCCGGGCGGGGGCGGGGCCGGGCCGGGTGCGGCTCTTCGGGCCCGAGGCGCTGGTCAAGCGTCCGGCCACGCCCACGGCCAGGTGCGACCGCCTCCAGGTGGTGCTGAGCCAGCCCTACTGCCAGGTGAGCGCACCTGGGGGGGCAGGACACACCTGGGGGGGGTTAGAGCTCACCTGGAGCTCACCTGAGCTCATCTGAGGGGGGCAGGACACACCTGGGGGGTCAGGGCTCACCTGGTCAAGCGTCCGGCCACGCCCACGGCCAGGTGCGACCGCCTCCAGGTGGTGCTGAGCCAGCCCTACTGCCAGGTGAGCGCACCTGGGGGGGTCAGGGCTCACCTGGGGGGGTCAGGATTCACCTGAAGGGGTCGAGACACACCTGGAGCTCACCTGAGGGGGTCAGGGCTCACCTGGGGGGGTCAGGACACACCTGAGGGGAGTCAGGACACACCTGAGGGGGGTCAGGACTTACCTGGAGGGGTTAGGGCTCACCTGGGGGGGTCAGGACACACCTGAGGGGGTCAGGACACACCTGGGGGTGTCAGGGCTTACCTGGAGCTCACCTGAGGGGGTCAGGGCTCACCTGAGCTCACCTGGAGGGGTCTGGAGCTCACCTGGGAGGATCAGGAGTCACCTGAGGGGGTCAGGACACACCTGAGGGGGTCAGGGCTCACCTGAGGGGGTCAGGGCTCACCTGAGGGGTCTCAGGGCTCACCTGAGGGGGGCGTGGCTCACCTGGGGGGTGTGGCTCACCGGGGGGGTGTGGCTCACCTGGGGGCGTGGCTCACCTGCTGGCCCCGCCCCCAGAGCCGCCCCTACGGCCTCGCTTTCATCCGAGCGTTCGCTGCCCCCGAGGAGGGAGAGGAGCCGGCCCCGCCCCCGGTGAGTGACCCGAGAGTGACCAATGGGTGACCCTGAATGACCACTGACCAGTGAGTGACCAATGGGTGACCAGAGTGACCACTGAGTGACCAATGGGTGACCCCTGAGTGACCACTGACCACTGAGTGACCCTGAGTGACCACTGAGTGAGCACTGACCTGAGTGACCCCTGAGTGACCCTGAGTGACCCTGAGTGACTGAGTGACCCCTGAGTGACCAATGAGTGACCCTGAGTGACCACTGAGTGACCACTGAGTGACCCCTGAGTGACCCTGAGTGACCCCTGAGTGACCACTGAGTGACCCTGAGTGACCCTGAGTGACCAATGAGTGACTGAGTGACCCTGAGTGACCATGAGTGACCCTGAGTGACCCTGAGTGACCCCTGAGTGACCCTGAGTGACCCCTGAGTGACCCTGAGTGACCACTGCGTGACCCCTGAGTGACCAATGAGTGACCACTGAGTGACCCTGAGTGACCTGGGACCCCAAAATACACCTGGGACCCCAAAAACACACCTGGGACCCCCCAGAAACACACCTGAGATACACCTGGGGGACCCCAAAAACATACCTGGGACCCCAAAAATACACCTGGGATACACCTGGGACCCCAAAATACACCTGGGACCCCAAAAACACACCTGGGACCCCCCAGAAACACACCTGAGATACACCTGGGGGACCCCAAAAACATACCTGGGACCCCAAAAATACACCTGGGATACACCTGGGACCCCAAAATACACCTGGGACCCCAAAAACACACCTGGGACCCCCCAGAAACACACCTGAGATACACCTGGGGGACCCCAAAAACATACCTGGGACCCCAAAAATACACCTGGGATACACCTGGGACCCCAAAATACACCTGGGACCCCAAAAACACACCTGGGACCCCCCAGAAACACACCTGAGATACACCTGGGGGACCCCAAAAACATACCTGGGACCCCAAAAATACACCTGGGATACACCTGGGACCCCAAAATACACCTGGGACCCCAAAAACACACCTGGGACCCCCCAGAAACACACCTGAGATACACCTGGGGGACCCCAAAAACATACCTGGGACCCCAAAAATACACCTGGGATACACCTGGGACCCCAAAATACACCTGGGACCCCAAAAACACACCTGGGACCCCCCAGAAACACACCTGAGATACACCTGGGGGACCCCAAAAACATACCTGGGACCCCAAAAATACACCTGGGATACACCTGGGACCCCAAAATACACCTGGGACCCCAAAAACACACCTGGGACCCCCCAGAAACACACCTGAGATACACCTGGGGGACCCCAAAAACATACCTGGGACCCCAAAAATACACCTGGGATACACCTGGGACCCCAAAATACACCTGGGACCCCAAAAACACACCTGGGACCCCCCAGAAACACACCTGAGATACACCTGGGGGACCCCAAAAACATACCTGGGACCCCAAAAATACACCTGGGATACACCTGGGACCCCAAAATACACCTGGGACCCCAAAAACACACCTGGGACCCCCCAGAAACACACCTGAGATACAACCTGGGACCCCCAAAAATACACCTGAGATACACCTGGGACCCCAAAATACACCTGGGACCCCAAAAACACACCTGGGACCCCCCAGAAACACACCTGAGATACACCTGGGGGACCCCAAAAACATACCTGGGACCCCAAAAATACACCTGGGATACACCTGGGACCCCAAAATACACCTGGGACCCCCAAAACACACCTGGGGGGGGTAAAAATACACCTGGGATACACCTGGGGGACCCCAAATACACCTGGGGGGGTAAAAACACACCTGAGATACACCTGGGGGACCCCAAAACACAACTGGGACCCCAAAAACACACCTGGGACCCCCAAAATACACCTGGGACCCCAAAAATACACCTGGGACCCCAAAATACACCTGAGATACACCTGGGGGACCCCAAAACACACCTGGGGGGGTAAAAACACACCTGAAACCCCCAAAATACACCTGGGACCCCAAAAATACACCTGGGACCCCAAAATACACCTGGACCCCAAAACACACCTGGGATACAGCTGGGGGACCCCAAAACACACCTGAGATACACCTGGGGGACCCCAAAAATACAGCTGGGACCCCCAAAACACACCTGGGACCCCCCAAAATATCACCTGGGACCCCCCAAAACACACCTGGGGGGGTAAAAACACACCTGGGATACACCTGGGGGACCCCAAAACACACCTGGGGGGGTAAAAACACACCTGAAATACACCTGGGGACCCCAAAAATACACCTGAGATACACCTGGGGGACCCCAAAAATACACCTGGGATCCCCCAAACCCCCCTGAAGACCCCTGAAACCCCCCTGGGGATCCCCAAAACCCCCCTGGGACCCCCAAACTCCACCTGGGACCCCTCAAACCCCAACTGGGACCCCCCAAATCCCCCCAGGGGAGCCCCCAAACCTCCCAAAACCCCACCTGGGTGGGGGCCAGGTGGATTTGGGAGTGCCAGAGGCAGGGGAGGAGGCTGAGCTGCGGGCCGTGAGTACACCTGGGCACACCTGGGCACACCTGGGCACACCTGGGGGGGGGAAAACAAAAAAAAATTGGTGAAAATTGGGTGAAAATCGGGTGAAAAATGGGGATTTTGGGGGGTTTTGAGTTACCTGGGCACACCTTGGGATGGAAAAATGGGGGGAAATGATGAAATTTGGGTGGAAAATGGGGATTTTGGGGGTTTTGTCTCACCTGGGCACAGCTAGGCACACCTGGGAGGGGAAAAACAAAAAAAATTTGGTGAAAATCGGGTGAGATTTGGGTGAAAAATGAAGATTTGGGGGGGTTTTGGGCTCATATGGGCACACCTGGGGGCACCTTGGATGGAAAAACGGGGGAAAATGGTGAAATTTGGGTAAAAAATGGGGATTTTTGGGGTTTTGAGTTACCTGGGCACACCTTGGGATGGAGAAATGGGGGGAAATGGTGAAGTTTGGGTAAAAAATGGGGATTTTTGGGGTTTTGAGTTACCTGGGCACACCTGGGAGGGGGAAAATGGGGAAAAATGGTGAAAAAATGGTGAAAATCGGGTGAAAAATGGGGATTTTGGGGGGTTTTGGGCTCACCTGGGCACAGCTGGGATGAAAAAATGGCAAAAATTGGGTGAAATTTGGGTGAAAAATGGGGGTTTTTGGGGTTTTGGGCTCACCTGGGCACAGCTGGGGGGGAGAAATGGGGAAAAATGGTGAAAAAATGGTGAAAATCGGGTGAAAAATGGGGATTTTGGGGGGTTTTGAGTTACCTGGGCACACCTGGGAGGGGGAAAATGGGGAAAAACAAAAAAAATTTGGTGAAATTCGGGTGAAAAATGGGGGTTTTTGGGGTTTTTGGTTACTTGGGCACACCTGGGGGTGGAGAAATGGGGAAAAACAAAAATTGGTGAAATTCGGGTGAAAAATGGGGATTTTGATGGTTTTGTCTCACCTGGGCACACCTGGGCACAGCTTGGGATGGAGAAATGGGGAAAAACAAAAATTGGTGAAATTCGGAAATTTAATGGGGATTTTGATGGTTTTGTCTCACCTGGGCACACCTGGGCACAGCTTGGGATGGAGAAATGGGGAAAAAATGGCGAAATTTGGGTAAAAATTTGAGATTTTGGGGGTTTTGTCTCACCTGGGCACACCTGGGCACAGCTTGGGATGGAGAAATGGGGAAAAAATGGCGAAATTTGGGTAAAAATTTGAGATTTTGGGGGTTTTGTCTCACCTGGGCACACCTGGGCACAGCTTGGGATGGAGAAATGGGGAAAAAATGGCGAAATTTGGGTAAAAATTTGAGATTTTGGGGGTTTTGTCTCACCTGGGCACACCTGGGCACAGCTTGGGATGGAGAAATGGGGAAAAAATGGCGAAATTTGGGTAAAAATTTGAGATTTTGGGGGTTTTGTCTCACCTGGGCACACCAGGGAGGGGATAAATTGGGAAAAAATGGCAGAAATTGGGTGAAATTTGGGAGAAATTTTGGTGAAAAATGAAAATTTTTGGGAGTTTTGAGTTACCTGGGCACACCTGGGGTGGAGAAATGGGATAAAAATGGCAAAAATCGGGTGAAATTTGGGTGAAAATTTGAGATTTTTGGGGTTTTGTCACACCTGGGAACGCAAAACCAAAAAAACCCCGGTGAAATTTGGGCCAAAAACGCCAATTTTGGGCTGGCCGTGCCAGGCCACGCCCCCTGGCTCTCTGCCATGGCCACGCCCCCGAGTGGGCGTGGCTCAGCCTTGCCCCGCCCCCAGGTACCTCCTGGACGGCTCCGCCTCCTCAGGCAGCGAGGGGGAGGAGCCTGAGGAGGCCCCGCCCCCTCCGCGCCCCTCCCCCAAGGCCAAAAAGGGGGCGGAGCCTCCTCGACAGGAGGAGCCCGTGACTCCGCCCCCCGCGGCGCCGGCCACGCCCCCCGAGTCAGGTGACAGCGGCGGCCAATCAGACGAGTGAGTTCCGACAGAGGGGGCGGGGTCAGACACAGAGTGGGCGTGGCCAGAGGTTGTGGGTGTGGCCACATCTTGAGTGGCTGCGGCCGCATTAAGATGGGCGTGGCCTCCTCATTGTGGGCGTGGCCACACCTTTGTGAGTTTTGTCATGCCTGGGGTGGGCGTGGCCCTACATTAAGTGGGCGTGGCCACTCCCTAACTAGGCGTGATCACATTTTTAAGTGGGTGTGGCCACTCAGTTTAAAGTGGGCGTGGTCACGATCGAGTGGGCGTGGCCACCCTTTACATCGGCATTGTCAAACCCGTGGTGGGCGTGGCCACACTTCAAGTGGGCGTGGTCACTCATTTAAGACTGGGCGTGGCCACGATTGAGTGGGCGTGGCCACTCCCTAACTGGGCGTGGCCACAATGTAAGTGGGCGTGGTCACACCTTTTAAGTGGGCGTGGCCATTCCTTACATGGACATTGTCATTCCTCTGGTGGGCGTGGCCATAAAACAAATGGGCGTGGCCAAACATCAAGTGGGCGTGGTCCTACCTCGAGTGGGCGTGTCCCCACCTCGAGTGGGCGTGTCCCCGGAGGTGGGCGTGTCCCTCAGGTGGGCGTGTCCCCCCCAGCCCCTACGGCGGCTCCACCGAGGAGAACAGCGAGGACGAGGAGGGGGAGGGGGAGCCCATCCCCCCCCTGCCGGGTGCGTGCCCCTCCCCCACCGGCCCTGTTCTACCAACGC